AGTATTTAATGCTGGGATAAAACTATCTTGAGATACCCAATTAATCTTCTCTTTTTAAAAACCGAAGTAACCAACAAGGGGAAAGTTTGGGTACAAAGAAACAACGGAATGGAAAATAAATCCTTAGGAGGATACTTTTGGTATGTGCATAGATTCCCTTTGATGGACATTTTCATTGAACACAACTCTCCAGTCCTTATTATTCTTTGGGACAGCCCACTCTAATTGTGTTTTAAAAGGCATCCGACTGACTTTAAAGCAAACGTTCAGACAGGTCTTGTATACTATGGCTGTAAAATGACAGTGTCATAATAGGCCCAGAAAAGGAGAAAGAAGTTAAATTGAAAACTCACCACACATGGCTTCATTTTTCATGAGTTGGTAACTGTGCTTGGCTAAAAAAAACATCTATTTCACTTTTCCAAAATAAACAGAATAAAAGCTTACAGCCACATGCTGCACCGTGGAAAAATGTCAGTGACAGCGATTTGGCTACACAGAATGCTAGCAAACCTAACCCCAGATAGAGAGCAAGACAATTAAAAGTATATGTGTGAGGGGGCGAGGGGCTAAGGAACACACATGAAGACTTCAAGGAAAAGGCTGCTATGTTTAAGGAAGAGAAAGGATGACTTATGGGCTCTCCTGTTCTGGTGCGATGAAGCATGCTTCATTCCCTCCCCTCTAGCCACTCGGCAGCACATTAAGATTCCTGCATAACTTTAGTTATGGCAGGTGTCCAATCCCATTGAGGAATTCTTTCAAACTAATTATAGAATCTGCCTTTTATTAATCAAATAACCATTCCATCCCTGGAGCCAAATCTTTCATAATAGGATCAGTTTGGGTTATGGTAACGGACCCCAAATGAGGTCATGCCTAATTCCCAATGACACCAGACTGCAAACAAAGGAATTCAGACAGCAGCAGAATGAGGAAAGCCGTCCCAGGGGAGAACCTAAGCACCCTCCACTTCTCACAGTACTGTGATCTGCAAAACCATTATTGAAATAGTTTCCGATGAAGGAGCCTGAGTCTTGCTGACCTCCTGTAATTATGAAACAGCCGTTTGGGGGGACACAAGGAATAATTCTGCAGTATCATTTTCCCCCAAAGAGCAGAGATGTGAAACTCAGGGGATGTCTAAAAGACGCTTTATTTTCCAAAGAGGATATGCAAATTCCTGCGGAATTTTCCTATCTTCTTCCAATCTCACTTTTGAAAGCGCATCTTTCGAAAGTGAAAGTAGTCTGGATGCAGGTTTGTTCAGGAAAAAAAAAAACTTTTTCGAAAAACTGCGTAAACCTCATTTTTTTAAGGAAGAGTGGTTTTTTGAAAAAGGTTCCCCCCCCCCCCGAGATTGGAAGAAGATTCCTGCAGAATTTGCATATCCTCTTTTGAAAATAAAGCATAGTCTAGACATAGCCAAAGAGTAACAAGTCTGAAAACATGGACACGGCTTGGCAGGTTGCAATGAGTGCCAAAGCCCACGGAGAAGAGAACGCGTCAAGTTCCCTGACCAGTCCAAAACCAACCCTAATGCCTAACTCTGTGTGGTTCCAATGAAATCAGGAGGATACCCAGGTGCAAAAGTACCTTGCTGCATCATTGCCTAACTGCCCAAAGATAAGTGCGCCTTTGATCCATAAAGCATTCTGAATTCTAGATCCTTTGCGATGGTCCCTGACTGTTTATTTCATTCTTGTACACAGTGTCAATGCGCCGCCCCATTTGCACTTCCACCCCTAAGCCGGCCTGTTGCATGGAGGTAAATTTCACTCGGAGAGAACTAGTCGAGACTGTCTCACCGGGCTCACCAAGACTCCTGTATACTTTTCACTCGCAGCAGTTTCATGGGCAAGACTTTATTGCCACAACTACCCAATCTACCCACTGCTCCCCCTAACGGCAGAGGGACCAGCACCTAATGAATGCTCATTATGGCAGTTTTCACTGTCAACATGGCACGTGACTGGAATAAATTCAAGAGTGGGGCTGCTCAGAGCTGGGATGTCAGGGACACAGTGGTGACAGGATTCCAAGATGGAGCCATTTCATTTACTTGCTACATTCCATTCACTTAAATCTGGCCCAAGCAATCCCAGTTTCCTCTGCGCCTGAGCTGGAGCATTTGAAATCAGCAAAAGGGGTTTCAAAACTAAACTTACTGAGGAAGGGAAGAGGGAGCTAAAAGTGTCTTTATCGAAAAACCCCAGCAACAAACCTCTTGTTAGTTATAATTACTTAGTACTGACACCGTGGGGGTGCGCAGAGGCTCAGGGAAGGCCCGTGTCCTGTGATGCTAGGTATGACAAACACAGGTGAACCCTGGCTCCATCAAAGTCAACAGGATTCGCAACCAAGTCAGGATTTCACCCACAGAGACAGTGGCCTCACCGTAAGGGGCTTACTGGTTTCCCCAGGAGATCTTACATTTTCCCAGGCAGGACAAGAACTTTTTATTTGGAATGAGAAAGCCAATCAAATCTGGCCTGGGCCACGAGAAGGCTGCTACCTCCCCGACTGAGCTACATGACAGAACGCTGGAGTTACTACTGGCAGCACACACCATGTGCTGGTCTCTGCGCTCACCCTCAAGAAGGACACACTCCAATGAGAACACAGCTGCAGGACAAGCAAATGGACAGGGAGCAGGAGAGGCTTTATATACAGACCTGTAGCTGGAGCCCTATGCAGAAACATTTGCAAAACCGAACTGCGGATATCCCCATCCACAAACAAAGAGGAGCCAATACTCCAGGGTTGGCAGCTCCCCCAGTCTGTTCCCATCTTCCCCTAGACATTAAGAGATGTCCCACACTGAGCAGCTCGCGAGCAGGGAGGATCTGGGAGAATTCAGCCAAGTCCCCATGCTCCCGGCCTCTTCCATGGACAAGTGGCTGCCACAGTTTCTCAAAGGAAGTTCCCTCTCCAAATAAACTCTTCTCTTATTCTACTTGAGCTGGAAAGCGGAGGGAAAACATGGGCTTTGCTCAAAGATATAACTAATTGCCTAAGACATCTAAGGAAGCATCAATGCCGTGAAAAGGGAATGAAATAAAACCCAGCAGAGAGACATGAACTGCTGACTCTGAAATTAAAGCTCCACATCGGTAGGTGATAGACCAGAGAGATGGGAAAAAACTGCAAGGAAAAATACAGTGTGCAGTTGAAGGGTTACAAGAGCCAACCTGGTATTGCTTGGGGAAGAGTTAGTGGAGGAGAAAAGGGGCCAGGCATGGGCACTTACCCACTGCACGGAGCCAGACAAAACACAGGGCATCATCGGCTTAATCTGCAATACGTTTTGCTGGCATGGCTAGGAGCGTGAAAAGAAATCACACCCTGGCAAAGACCGCGTGTAGACACAATTACATGAAAACAAAATCCTTCTCCAGGCATAGCAGGTCTCCTATGGCCAGGATAGCGATGCCGGCAAAGCAGAGTTCAGACAAGCCCTTAGATTCACTCCTGTGGAGCTCAGAGCAACCCTGCGGAATATCCTCCTGGCATGTCCATCTCAGCTCCCCCCCGCCCAGCGATCCCTCTGTGGCTATGCGGCTGATCGTTGGCTTGGAAAGCTGGTACCCTTCCACCCCATGTCCAGCTTGAGAGTTCGACTGAGAGGCCTGACTTAGTCGAAATGAAAGCCACCGGTGAGAGCAGATACAGCCACAGCAAGCAGCACCTCCTGGGAGAAAGGCGCTAGATTGAGTTCCCTTCCCAGCCCGCCCCTCCTCCCACCTGTCAAAGGGGAGACGTGAGAGGCCTTTAGCGGAGTCAGATATTGTCCTGCCTTGCTACACACACAATAAAGTGCTGACGCTGACTGTTTCCTGCCTGCAAAGTTCATTAGAGGGGCTTATTATTACTTAGCTGTCTCCTCATCCTCTCTCACACGGCCACCTGAAATCTCCCTTGCATTTGTAAAGCACGCAGTTACAGCCATCGGCAGGCACTAATATTCTGTTTAAGCAATAGCTAGACAGTACATGGCCGTGCCCTGGATGTTCACCAAAGGAAAGGGCATTACATGTGCTATATCCAGAGGACAACATTTTGTTCGTAAGAAATCCAGTGCTAATCTGGAGCCACTCCCTATGGGTTACGTTAGGTTTGGACCGAGGGCAGAATCTGAGCCAATAAATCTACTGCAGAGGGAAACAACTCAGAGGTAGGCAGTGGTGCTCTGAGTAGAGAGAGGCAATAACCAGCCATGCTGCCACTCCTTTTCTGCAGAGCACTGAAGTAACTGCCAGGCTGGAATTCTACCCTATGTTAGCTGCAGATAGAATCAAAGAATCCCAGGGTTGGCAGAGACCTCAGGAGGCATCGAATCCAGCCCTTTGCCAAAAGCAGGACCAATCCCAACTCAATCATCCCAGCCAGGGCTTTGTCAAGCTGGGATTTTAAAATCTCTCAGGATGGAGATTCCACCCCTCCCTAGGGAACCCATCCCAGTGCTTCCCCACCCTCCTAGGGAAATAGCTTCTCCTAATATCCAGGCTAGACCTCCCCCACTGCAACTTGAGCCCATTGCTCCTCGTCCTGCCCCCTGCCACCACTGAGAACAGCCTCTCTCCATCCTCTTTGGAACCCCCCTTCAGGGAGCTGAAGGCTGCTCTCAAATCCCCCCTCGCTCTTCTCTTCTGCAGACTAAACAAGCCCCAATCCCTCCGCCTCTCCTCATAAGTCAGTTCCATCTGGTCATTGTCTTTTTCAGTGAAGACATGTACAAGTTGGACGAAAACTGCCACCGCTCATCTTAAATATACTCTAACACGCAGGCCCTTTACAGACAGGCCTTCACCCTCAGCCACCTGTTCCGGCTCACAATAAACCTCTTCTGCAGTCACACACTGGATCACGTGAGATAAAGACAATGCATCGCCCTTTCTTGTCATTTCTGTCAGGTTGGTTTGTTACATTATATTCCGTTCAAAGAGTAAGAGAGCTGTAAACAGCAAAAGAGAGGGGGTGAGGGTAGGGAAGCCACTTACTTGATATTGTCGAGACAGCCGGATTCAGGTTTCAGGATGGCAGTATGATGGAACATTTTATAGAGAGCAATCCCCAGGAAGATTACATTAAGCTGGAATGAAGAAAAAAAAAAGAGAAGGAAAGAAAGAAAAGATTGTGTTACATGGCAGAATTTGAGGGGGGGAACAAGTCTTTTCTTTGTAACAGATGACTTGCTCCGGGAAATTAATTCTCGCTACAGTTTTATAGGGACTAAATCATAGATGATTGCCTAGTATTCTATAAAGGCAGGGCAGCTTGCCGAACGAGGGAGCAGCAATACAATAGAGTTCCTCAAAGCTGGATGTAGCTAGGCCCGACACCAGCAGTGGTGTTACGGAAAATTAAAAACGTTTGCTGGAACGGCCCTTCTGCGGCTGTGTGGTGCATACCGATGGCAAACCTTTCCTCCCTTGGGAAGGAACGCAAGGCCTGCCCTTCCTGGCAGCGGGGCTGAGTATACATTTTCAAATATAGTGTTAAAGAAACACACGACACGTCAGTGGTTGAAAGAGAGAGCTTGGCCTATGCTGGAAAAGACAGACTATGGTTCACTAGACAAGAGGCAGCAATGACAGAGGGAGAGGCCTTTTATAAATGTATTTAATAAAAGCATAGACTAATGGCGCTGTACAGAAATGCATGAAACATGTAAGCCACTGCATCCTTCAGACAGCAGGACCCCCTGACTGGCGCACCATTCGGCCGTGTTTGTGTGCGACATATGATAATCGCTATAGGTTTAGCAAGTGACTCAAGGCTGGCAAATGAAACACTCTGGAATGGAACGAGACCCAACTACACATTGGCACTGAGGTGCTTACGCTCATGCCTTGCTGTGCTGGCTGAAGTACTTTCTATTTAAAACAAAGCAGGATTTATGGAAACCATATTGTACCGATTTCAATCCAAGCCAACTCCAGCCGTCTCTAAACTTTGGTTCTTTACCTTGTTGTTAAGCTATCTGATATGGTGACAACGTGTGCTAACTGTGAAGTTGTGCTTATTTTATTTCAACTTCTAAAGCTAGAGGGGAAAAAATATTTTTTTGTCTTCATTTTTGACTTTGCTCGTACTTGAGATTTCCCTTTGTGCATAAACAATGTACAGCTTCACTCTGGAATTCAAAGGGAGGAGCGCAGGGTGTCAAAATAGAGACCAGCGCTTCTAAACGTCTGGCAACATCAAATAAGCGCTGCAAGAAACTATTATGAGCAAGTGTCCATATCCCAAGCTCATAGCAAAGCATACTTTCCTTTCCCCCAATGGATTTTGATCAAGTGTTTCTGAATGCAAGGAGCCCCTTATAATGAGTGTCTAATTGCTTGTGTTAGGTGGGGTTAGATAAGAACATGCTTTCCCCAAATTAATCTATGTAAATTCAAGATACAGAGTGAAAGTTTTCTTCCTTGACCTGGGAGATGGAGTAGTTAATTAGGAGTTCTTACCATAATTATCAAGGTCGCTGGTCCTATAAAGCTCCAAATGAAGTAGGTGTCAAGTCTGAGCCAACATCTGTAATGAAACACAGGGGATAGAAGGCATTCAAGGACTGAGCGCAGGACATACATCATGAGTGAGCGAGTGACAGAGAATGATGTGAGCTGCAAAACATTCCGCTGGGAGACAGGAAATATTACATTGCTTGTTCATTTAAATGCTGAATTATGTGCCCAATTTCTGACAGTGCTATTGATGGAGGAAGATAATTACCTCTGGAGGAAGCAGGGGGAAATAAGGCACAGGGCCTAGCTGCTAAGGCCTTTTGCATCTGTCATAGAAAACCTTATTAAAAAACAAAGAGGCGGGGAAAGGAAAGATGAGCAGCCATTAAATCTTTCAGCAGCTCTCCAATTATGACGCAACACAACCTGCCAGTCAACTGTCAAGTGAGCTGACATTTTTCCATCTAAAAGATTTGAGCAAATTTGGTGCAAAAAGGAAATAAATTTTGGTACTGGAGGACTGAGGAATAGATTAATTACATTCAGTATCCTCATCTTAGAGGCCCCCCCACACTCCACCAAATCTCCCAAGCAACGTTGCCACTAGTGTTTCTAAGGTGGCAAATGATCTTCAGTATCACATAAAGCTGATTCATGGCCTAAAACTAAATTATTAATCACTTAATTTCAGCTGCACTTAACACTCCCCCAATTTTGAAGGCCCCTGGGAAATTATATTTCCATTCCTAGTTCATTCAAGCTGACAGGAAGATAAAATGGAAATGACAAGTTACAAGACAGATGAATGTGAATTCCAAGGAAGCTACATATGATGTTTAAAATAATAATGTATTGGCGTGTTTATCATGTTACCCCTTACAGATGTGTTTATAAGGAGAATACTACTAAATTGTTAAAAAAGTGTATCCTAGAAATTACACGGATTTCCTAATTAAATAAAATGTCAACAATCATACATATCCATTTACCCTGAGACTATATCAAGATAGCAATTCTGATAGCTCTGACCTCAGTATCTTGGTTGAGTTCTTGTAAACTCAACTGAATTCCACAAAGAATCCGAGAAAGACAGGGCTTCAAGGGACCTCAAGAAGTCATTTTGTCCTTCACCTTGCAACGAGGCAGGGCCAAGTAACCCTGGACCATACCTCACAGGTGTTTGTCTAACCTGGTCTTAAAAACATGTTCCACAACTTCCCTTGGCAACCTATTCCAATACTTCACTAGTTTCTGTAGTTGGAAAGTTATTTCTTCTATCTAACCCCAATCTCCCTTTTGCTGATTAAGCTGATGAGCACGGGAGATGGTCAAAGCAGCTCTAAAGTTGGGATCAGAGCCTAGAAATGAAAGGCTCCTGTGAAAACAACCTTCTCTTTCTATACTGAGGCATTTCAGGCTTTGCAAAATCAAAAATTAAACCTTCAAATTGCAAAACCCTGGAAACAAGGAGTTTGTTCCCAACTTTGCCAACACGCGGTACACCTACACTGCTGGCTTCCTTCGGCAGGGAGGGTACATAAGTGGGTAGCTTTGTTCACATGGGTATAAACAGCAGCACAGACACTGAGGCATGGCTTAGATGAGTAGAGACATGCCCAAAGAAAGAGGGCGTGTCTCTGAGTACACACTTTAAATGGCTCCACTCACGTACCTTGTTTGCCACCAGCAAGGTATATGAAAATCAATTATACAATCTACTCCACTATTGAGATATTTACATGGTGCCAAAACAGAAACTGGAGGGCACAGAGATTAAAAAACAAACAAAACCACAATTGCTACTATGGACCTAACTCCTGCATTGGCACTGAAGCCATCCATCAAAATTCTCACGTGAGATGCACTGATACGGGTTGCCTAATGTGAAGACAGGAGTTGTGGGTTTCTTCTGCCCTCGCTGACTTTAAAGCTTGTAGTGCAGTAGCTTCTAGAGAAGGGATGGACAATAAAAGGGCAGCAGTTCGCTGCCGACGCTTGATTTACCTGTGCCCCCACAGATCTGGGTGGCTGCAGATCACCATTCCCAGCCAATGGGAGCTACAGGAAGTGACACAGAGTGGGACACCACTTCCCGCAGCCCCCATTGGCCAGACAGAGTGATCCACGGCCAATGGGAGATGTGATTTCCCATACCTGCATAAACACAGATAAATAAAGCGGTGGCCTGCCAGGGGCTAACCGTGGCGAACCAGATCCAGCCCGAGGGCTGCTATTTGTCCACCCCAATTCTGGGGGCTGCAGCTCAGATCAGGTCCCATATAAACACGCAGTGCGTCCTAACTCTGAAGTTCTTACAGTTGAAACTGACGAGGCAGACTAAGTATTATTTCCCGTATTTTATAGATGGGGAGCTGAGGCAGAAACACATTGATTTGCTCGAGATCGCAGAGGAAGGGTGTTGGCCACGGCAAGAACTGCATTCCTGAGTCCTTGTCTGGTATCTTAGCCACAAGAGCATCCTTTCTTTCAAAGCCCATTTTACTCAGGCAGGAAAGGGCCCTGCAACAGCAAACCTCTACACAAAGTTCCGGGGCGGAGGAAGACCTTGAATTGTGCCATCCAGCCAGGCTTCACCCTCCAGCTCCACGGAAGTCGAAGGAGTTACCCCAGCCAAGGGTCTGGCTCTTTGCTCATTTCACTTGATCATTTGTTGGTTGGCAGGTTGTCGTTTGGGGAAGGCTGGAGCAACACTAAATCCACTCCAGAAGCCACGCTGCCAAGCACCTTACAGCAATATCGTCAGGGTATTTTTTGGTGATTTTTAAATAAAAATTCTCAGCGTGCTTCAAACTGTATCATAAATTTTACAGCAAAAGCATCTGCCAACAGGCAACACAAGGACATCTCGCTGTTTCTGTAAAGCCCGCTGAGCAGGTGGAGGGAGCATGGCACATTGCTCCTCCTTGAGCACTTAGAGTTTTACTGGCTCCTGGCGAGCAGGACGGCAAAACTCCCTTCAGCTTGATGGCCATATGGCCACAGCGGCTGGTGCTATTTTTGGCCATAGTCTCTCTCGTTATACGTCTCTGACCCATGCACAGTTCCTGGAGGCTGGCCTTGTGCCCTTCCCATTCGCTGGCCGCTGGGCAAACTGTGCATCCAAAGGGCTTGCAAATCCGCAATACAATCCCAGAGCCAGATTCACAGCCCAGCTCAATTGACTTCAATGGACTATGACTAATCACGGATCTCGAACAGTGAGGGGCATGGAGACGGCTGATTGGAACCTGACAGAATGCTGAAGAGTGGAGCTTTGCTGTATTCTCGGAGTGGCATTTATCAGCACCGCCATCAGGCAATGAAAACGGGGACTTGGATTGGATTCTGCACAATCGAGGAAAGTACGCGGAAGCAAGCATTTCTCCTCCTCAACTAGAAGGCGACAGCTGCTTGCCTTTCCCACTCTGTCATTAGAAGGAAAAAGACTTCCAGGCAAAAGAAGGAAAAGGTTGATGGTGAACTCAGGGGGAGAACAAAGCGACTTCTTATATAAGCAGCCAAGTGGTTAGCAGCTCAGATACTCCGTGGCAAGTGTGGGGCACGGTGTAGCTTGGGAAGTCTGGCCCACAAACCCCGGAGTGCAAATCTTGCACATGGGGTGGATTCTGTGGCAACTTCAGTGGCTGTGAAATAGCCAAGATCCAAGTATATTCTTGTTTTACTACACACTGTGATAACACTTGGCCAAGTCAGGGATCCATGGTGCTAGACATAGGTAGAAGACAGCACACACACCCCTCCTCCCGAACGAGCTTTCACTCCACACAGACAGGACTGGCAAAGACTAGCAAGGGCTCCTCTTGCCTTGCAAGCAGGAAAGGTTGCACTGAAACACTGCTGTTGTTCTAATGGGAAGGTCACTAAGAAATGAAATACCGCTCTCTTGAATGGCTCTGATGGGACTCAGTAGTAATACGGTTAACCCACAAAGGGGGAGGGGAGGGGCAGGGAATGGTCAGTATTTTATGGATGTCTTCTAGGGAACTAACTTTGAACCCGCTCTAGGCAGGCTTCATACCAAATGCAAATGAAGAACAAAACATCAAAACTTGGGCATCCTGCCAGTGCGGTAACAGAGCTGTAAATAGCTAATCAGACAAGTACCACCCGGAGCTTTTCTTGCCTTAAAAACAAAAGCACCCACCCAATGAGCTGAATAAATGAGCTCCTTGAAACAAGGAAGCAATCAGGCAACTTGGCTCCCAAAGTTCCTAATCTCTGGCTGAGGAACTACTTCTGACCCCGGCACCCAGCTGCAAGGTGAACGCTAACTTGTCAGCCGTCATGTTCATATTCCAAGAGCCATTAAATAAATGAGATGCTTCTGCAGACCAGAGGATCTGACGTTCCAGGTTTGCTCTATGTGCTATGCATTGTCCCAAACCCCACCAACCCAGTCCCTTCTTCTCCAAAGAGATGAATGGCTCCGTTGGGAGCTGTGGGGCATTTTCTTCCCTTTTTAATTTCCTCCCTTGCACAGTGACAAGTTACCTAGATTCAGCCAACGCTTTTTTGCAAGCAATAAAGGCTGCAAGGGTTTGCTCTGTTTCCTGCACGAAGAGAAATCAAATGCTAAAGGATCTTTAGTGTGCATTAAATGTAACTAATAAACCACCATTAGCCAATGTTGGACCATCTAAGTGATCATACACTTCATGGCCGTTGGGGTGTTTGCTTTGTTGCATAAAAAAGCCTCCGCCTGAGCTCACTAGATTTATATAAATTGATTTTCTAAAGCTACACCAAACTGTAAGGTCTAAGGTTTTAAACTGCAACTTATTGTGAACCTTGTCAATCTTTGTAATCTGTGTAATTCTCAAATTTACTATAAACTGCAACTTTGTAATCTTTGTAACATGCAGCCACCTTGCTTGTAACTTTCCCTAAGCTGCCTTCTCCCCTGAGTGAATGGAGAGAGAGTGTGAGTGTGTTTGAAGAAGGCTTGGAACAATGGACCACATGGCAATGAGTCATCACAGTATGGGCATGCTCCCTGCTGGATAAAGGGAAGTCTGGGCATGCTCCCTGATGACAAGGTGAGTCACAGGA